TGCCATCTGTGACGGAGAGAAATAAGCCTGCTCATATTCCCTTTGAAAGCCATGGGGAATATTAAGAGTCAGCACCAAGAATAAGTCAGAACCTGAGGAAAGAAAAGAAGCTTAAATGACATCAAAGGACAGCTTAAGATAGGAGGGAGCCCCTCCAGGTGAAGGATTCTGTTCTTCACATGAGGCTGAACTGTAATTAGAAGCCCTGGGTGATTCAGGAAGATGGGATTAGATGTGGGCCGAGGATATTTACTCCAAAGCTACTACCCGTTGGATCTTCACTTAGCAGCTCTCCAGAGCCTTGACCTGGAGGATCTGCTGTACTTTACAACATTTAAAAGAGCTCTGAATTAAAATTAAGGACAACTGTGGAAAAATCTGCAGAGCTTTGAGTTTTACAGAATCTTTAATGACAGAAAGAAGGCAGCCTTGGTTCTTGGCTGAGATAAGAACATGGCCATGAGAAATATCTCATTGATCCTTCATCCTCATAAACAGGATTAGATTGTTTAGAAGAGGGGTTGGCAACCTGCGGCTCTGGAGCCGCATGTGGCTCTTTCATCCCTCTGCTGCGGCTCCCTGTCACAGTTGGCTCCACAGTTGATAGGGCTTTTGGTTAGGACTGGTAGAGGAAAACGGACGCCATGCTAGGAGGAGGAAACTGGACTTCCGGTCAGCTCCAGAATTGAACCGGGGTAGGGGGCTTCTGGTTAGGACCTTTTGGGCTCTTTGAGTTTCAGGTTGCCGACCTCTGAAGACTGTATGGCAGTAGGTGAAAATGACCTAAGCAAAAATCTGCCAGATTAGGAGCCTGGATTTTGTTCACACAAGATTGGGCAATCTGTATTCAACGGATGAAATGTGCCCCCTGACATTTCAGCCATTCAAGTTCATATTTCCAGCCCTTGCAAACGAAGATGAAACACAATTTGAGTATTTATGTCCCACAGGGGTTTGGGCTAGATGACCTTCAAAACCCCTTCTGATCTAGGATTTCTTCCTATGCAAAAATACTTGAGGTAATTTTTAGGCAGAAATGGGAAGTGATTAGGTACATCCAGGGTATTAATGCCTCTATTTCTTTTTTAAAAGTGAGGAAGAACAGTCTAAAATATCATTCCTGTCTCTTCTCACTGATCTCATCGTAGAAGCTAAAAACCATGGCCATGCCTCTTCCCCAAAATGCAACCTCCCACTAGATGACTAATTTGTCTTCGTGCTTTCTTGTTCATACAGATTTGATTTTTTTAAAAAATAGAGTAAATCTTGTTTCAATCTGATTATGTAAATCTATTGTTGCTGCGTTTAATAACTACAGCAGATATCAAGTCAGTTCCTTCCCCCTCAACCATTGAATATTTCTGCTCGCTTTTTCTCAAGAACTTAGTTGTGTCTTTGGTTAAACACAAGAATCCTAACTAGTAGACTCTATAAAATTAGACAGACAACAACAAATAGATTCAAATAATAGAATAGAACAGAATTCTTTATTGGCCAAGTGTGGTTGGACACACTTGTCTTGGTGCAAATATTTGATAAAAAATTTGACAGGTAGGATTTAAATTTATTAATTACCAATTAATCCATTTATCAACAGCTGAAGACCATTTTTATGTCATTCTTATTATGTGTTTTCCTCCATTTACATTTCCTTAATCATAATTTTGTTAGGGCTCAAGGTCCTTATTCTATAAAGGAAGCTAGTTTTATTATCAGGCATTAATTTATGGTTGCAATTACATGTCACCTTTGGTCTTAAGATACAGAACCTTTTGTTGCCCTCTTGCCAAAAACCCAGCAAAAGACAGAAAGTCAAGAGAAAAAGCGTGGCCTCTGTTTTTTCATCCAAGTTCAACATTGCCACCACAATGTTTTTTAAAGATGCAAAAATGAGCTTGAAATGAGATACTGAGTCATTCCTGGAGGAAAGTCTGACTTGCTGGACTTGAAATGAGAAAGTATTTATTGTGAGATAGATGAACGTTGAATCTCGGTACTGAATGTAGAGAAGAACATTTTCTGAATGAAATTTTCAGTTTTTCAGGCAAACTGTTCGAGTAGACAAGGGACATAGAATAAAAGGAGAGAGAAACTCCTTGGAAATGTCAGAAAGGAAGTAACCAATGCAAATGAGAAACAGTTCCCTTTAATGGTGCTCTGGAACAGGAGTCTTCAAATTTGTCAGCTTTAAGACTTGTGGACTTCAACTCCCAGAATTCTTCCTCCAGTCATGTTAGCTCAGGAATTCTGGGAGTTGAAGTCCACAAGTCTTAAAACTTGCGAAGTTTGAAGGCCCTTGCTCTAGAAGGACCCATAATTGGATCGTCTCCATCTGGTTCTCCACCTCTTTTCCATATGGTAGATGGTTTTGAAAAACTAAGCAGGAGATAGACCAGGAAATATCCAGATTGTAGGCTAAATGGAGAAGTGGTGTTTGTCCATCTAATCACCAGACATCATGCTAATTTCGGCTTACTATACTCGCCACTTTGCTTTCTTTCTCTTAGGCAAATTGCATTATCCAATCTTTTACTGCATCAATGGGTCAAAGTGAAGGATAGCATCAAAGAGAATTTCCTGGTTGGGTAGGAAGAGACTCATGTTACGGCTGTTTTAATATAAGGCATTTGAATTGGCCCTTCACTTTAGGAAAGTTTTGATAGTAGAGGAGAAGGAGTTGCCTTAGGACATTTTGGTCAACCAAGAAGATGGTTTTTCTTTGCCATTTCTCCAAAACTTAACTCATAAACTCATGAAATGTAACAGTTAAAAGGAACCTCTGAGATTTAATGTTTGTTTGTTTGTTTGATGTGCCACCTGATTCCCAATGATTCTGGATGGCTCACAACAACTAAAACAAGATAAAATATAACTACATTACATCACATACTTACAATACAATTACACTATTTAACATATTAAGTACAAGTAACAAATAAATGATGGTAAAAACAACAAACTGGATAGAAACAAAGCAAAGGGACTTCGCCTTCCCTGGCCAAAAGCCTGCCTGAGATCATCTAGTCTACGATAGTCTATAGCAGGGGTCCCCAAAGTTGGCAACTTTAAAACTTGTGGACTTCAACTCCCAGAATTCTCCCAGCTGGAGAATTCTGGGAGTTGAAGTCCACAAGTCTTAAAGTTGCCAAGTTTGGGGACCCCTAGTTTTAGTAAGGGTGTCAAACTTGTGTCATCACGGCGGTTGCACATGACGTATTGTGACTTTTTTCGCCTTCGCTAAACCGGGCATGGCTATGGCCCGGGGTGAAATTCAAAAATTGTCCTTACCGGCTCTGTGGGCGTGGCTTGGTATACATGGTATAATAGTAACAGCAACCAGGGGTGATTTTTTACCGATTCAAATCATCCCTACCACATCTCCTGAGGTGGGCTGAGGTGGTTGAATTTCACCTCTGGACTGTGGCCAGCGCATGACACCTCCGGCTCGCAGGCTACAAGATTGACAGCCCTGGTCTATAACCACAGCAGTTTTGACAAATGGCCATCTGGCCTCTCCAATATTCTGCTTCCGGAAGGAGCTCTTCTGTTATTGGACAGCTCTTCCAACCAAAAAGTCACAGCTCAGATTGTGTAAAAACGAACAAGAGGGTAAGGGGGAATTCTCAGCCATTTAAGAAATACCCTTAGGCTGGTTTGCGGATTGTGACTAGTGTCCCCAACAACTGGCTGTCCTCTCTTACTAACATGTAGACCCATGTATGCTGATCTTTCCCACTGAACAAAGCAGCAATTTCTGAAGGAATTCAGTCCTTCTTCACTGAAGTAATGGTAGCACCTGAAGCTAGAGAAAACATAGGATATCCTTTGGATTTTCTGGAAAGCAAACAGTCTCCGTTGTGATCTGCAGAGTACCAGGTCTGCCTCTGAAATTGTGCCAGGGTAGGGTTGTACCTGGAGGCGTGCATATGGAAGTGTTGCAGTGGTGGGATTCAAAAACGTTTACTACTGGTTCTGTGGGTGTGGCTTGGTGGGCGTGGCTTGGTGGGCATGGTAGGGGAAGGGTACTGTAAAATCTCCATTCCTTCCCTACCCCACTAGCCTGCTTTCCAGCTCCGTTCTCCTGTGCAGGGCAACCAAACCGATCAGCTGGGACTCAGGAGGCAGAGAATAGATGGGGGCGGCACCTGTCAGAGATGGTATTTGCCGGTTCTCCGAACTACTCAAAATTTCTGCTACCGGTTCTCCAAAATTGGTCAGAACCTGCTGAATACCTCTGAAGTGTTGGCTGTTCTTTTTCAGCATGTACATTTTGTTTGATCCTGAAACTCCTGTTGCTTTTTTGTGGTGCCTTATCAAATGGCTGCTCATATTCAATAATTCTGCTGGTTAAGAACTTTATGTCCATTCTACAGAAACATTATAGAGTAGGCCCTGCGTGTTTCTTGGTCCTCTGCCTTCCTGTTTAAATGAAAGTCGAAAGTTTCAGAAACTGGGATTCCTGCTGCATCCTTTATTTCCAGTTTTGCATACCAAAGAAAGTGAATGCTTAGAAAATGCCTGGAATTCGGAGTCAGATGATAATTATGCGCAGCGCACCTTTTGTGATTTAAATGCTCCGGCTTGCAAGTGTGTCCCTTGACCTATTTAGAGGTGACCCTTACTGTAAATCTGTATCCCAGCTTAGGAAGCCTGGAGGAGGGAAAGCCCCTTGGGTCATAGGACATCTTCCGAATAGCTTTGCAAAAAACAAAAAAAAAACGAGGTCTCTGTCTCTTTAAACAGGTGAGTTAAAGATGAGGCTTGTTCACCCTTTCAGCTCAGGCATCTATCTAGCAGCTGAGTTGTTCTTTGCTCCAATGGAAAAAAATGGAAACCCCGTGTGTTGTAATGTGGCAAAGTTTCAGCGGTTGTGAAACTTTGCTGTGAAATTTCCATACGTCATATTTTGTGGGTAGCTCCCCCCACCCTTGCCCTGCGCACACACATAGCAGCTTGATCTCCTGTTACAAAAGGAGGAGGAGGAGGAGCCATCTGTGCATTCAGCGAAAACAATGTTTACTATGGCAGGTGGAACATTTGGGCTGAATGAATCTCCATCTGTTGAGGGCCAAGAGAGAGAGAAACGTGGTGATTCCTTGGCCGGGACGAGAAGGGCCTTTGAAGAAAGGAGCACCAACCTATTGCAATGATTAACCGGGCTGTGGAATGTCAGAATTGCTCTGAGGAAAGAATTTTGACTTCTTGCTGGCCGAGGACTGTTCTGTAGAGACTGGTTCTCTTTTCTTTGTTTTGTTTTTCTTTCCTGTTGGTTTTCCTTTTTCTTTCTTTTTTTTTTTTTAAAGTTTCGCTTTTGAACAGCAGACGGAGAAGTTGCCCCCGTTGGCTCAGCTGCGTGTGTCTGTGTGTGGTAAAGAGGATGGGGTTTCTCTAGCCACCGCGCACAATACCACCATTGATCATGAGGACTCTTCGCAGGTTGAAGTTCATGAGTTCGCCCAGCCTCAGCGATCTGGGCAAGAGAGAGGCAGCTGCCTTGGACGAGCGGGGGACTCAGCACCAGCGGGCCTGCTCCAATGCCACCTGGAACAGGTAAGGGCTCGGCCTTCGTCTTCACCCTCTCCCCTCCCCTCCCCTCCCCAGGAATTTCCCCAGCAGGGCCCTCTCAAGAAACAATTGCCACCCAACTGGTGGCTTTTGCTTCGGGTTGATCGATTTCCTTCTTTTCTCCCAAATCTTCAGCCTTTGGGGCTGAACCTCCTTTGGGGGAGGTTGGGGTATATATTTTTTTTTAAAGGCATGCCAGGATATCCACCCCTTTCTGCATTCCATTGGTCTTTGAGGATACCTGGCTTTTTGGAAGCAAAGGAGTAAGAAAACGGCTTGCATTTTGGAATGAGGAAAAATAGCAGGTCTCTTGGCGATCATCAGTAGGGCGAACAAATTCAACATTTTCGATCTCTCCAAAGTGTTTCGAAGCGACACTTTGCCTGTGACACTTTTTCCAGAATTCCTTGCTTTGTTTGCTGAAGCTCTTTTGGGAGACCGGATCAAAGTGTTGCACAGCACTATTAAGTACCCGGGTAGCTAGAAAGCAAAAGTAGTAACTGGGAAGAAATTTTATGGAAAGAGTTGTGCTTCCCGCCCCACCTCCACCCCCTTCTCTTTCCTCATGCTGTAATTAAGACTTGCTTATTGCCAGAGATAGCTCTGAGGTGGGAGGTCAAATCACTGAAGAAAATAGCATGACTGTGCAGCAAAGCCTTGGCTTTTTTGAAATGCACATGTTGAAAAGGGGCAGAACCTGACCATTATTTTACTTTGATGCCCAAACCAGAGACACTCTTGGTTATTTCTGAGACATCAAAGCCTGCTATGACTCTTTCTTATCTTATTATCCTTTCTTGGTCTAGTTTACTTATCCCTTAGTTTTTGACTTTTTTATTATTTCAGAATCGGAGGTAGAATCTGTCTTGTATGTACTATTAAAAATGTCCATTGTATACCCCATGGGGATCAAGTTTAATACTTCCAATTTTTAATAATTCTAATGATCATTGGTCACTCTTCAGAAGCCAAAGAAGGTTGCAGAATTCTTATCAGTCAATAGCTATTAGGATTGTCTGGTTCTTCCCTTCATATTATGAATTGTTAGCTGCTCATGGCTTTAGGATTTTCTCACAAGTTTAAAGTTTTCTTTGTACAGTTAGTGTATCGCATGCTGGCCTTTTACTGGGTTTGATTTCGTATCATAAATAATTTTTGAAACAGTTGACATTTGAATGTTTTGTTGTTCTTGTTCTTTTCTCAATATTACCTAATTTGTACGTTTCACCAAGCCATGTTTTGATTTGATTAATCTGGGCGTAGCATGTTCTGTGAATACAGAACCTGTGGTTTGAAATTTGGGTATTTTGGCACAGTCTATATACTGCGATGGTGAAGTATTCTATGAAATGTGGCTAAATGAAGTAAGGCTAAAGGCCAGGGCCCCAACGTAGTAGCTCTTTGAGGCATTTAGTTTGATGTTTATGGGGCGCTCTACCATATCCATGTCTTTGGTTGGCCATAAGGGAAAGTGACCACAGGGGCACTTTAACATTGTAATTTTGAAACAGTGTTATATATAATTTTGGTTTGTCTGTCATAACTCTGAACATTCATTAAGTGACTTGTCATATCTTGTTGATTACCTGTAGTGTTTGTTTTAAAAAACTAGACAGGTTTCTTTTCTGCATTAAGCATTACTGTGAGCATCTACAGAGAATTTAAAATTCTCATATAGCCAGATTGAAAAAGACTCTGAAAATCAGGCCAATCCAGGATCTAATCAAAGATCATAAGTTTCCTCCAGAAAATGAGATTTGCACATTGTTGGCTGCAAGCTAAGTTACAAGGAATCAGGGAATAATTCTGAAGGAAACTCTCCTAAAGGAAGATGAATTAGATTTTATGATTCACCAAGATTAAGGGTAAATCATTTTCTTTTCATCCTCTGACTGAAAGAACTGAAATTCCTTTTAAGGAATCCACAGAGCTCTTGGCCAATGGGCATCCTGCCTGGGAATTCTGGGAGTAGACGTCCACATATCTTGTGGTTGTTGAGGTTCAGAGACACTGTTTTGGAATGTTACTTTTGAACTGAGATTTTAAAAGGCTTCCAAGAGCTAAGTAAAATCCATTGAAAAGCTCCATTGAATTGCATAGAAATGATCATGGCTGAGGAATTTTATTCAACACTCAGTTGACTTTCTCACAGTCTGTTGCCAGTGTTCTGCAGGCTCTCCTTCTGGATGTTTCTTCCCACCATTTTGTGAAGAAACGGAGAGCCAGTTTGGCCTCGTGGTAAAGGCACCAGGCTAGAAAGTGGGAGATCATGAGTTCAAGTCCCACGTTAATCTCGAGAACCAGCTGGTGACTTTGAAATGTCTTTGTCTCTTAGCCCAATTCAGCTTGCAGGGTTGTTGTTATGGTGAAAATAGGAAGGAGGAAGATGTGTTGGATATGTTCGCCACCTTGAGTTATTTACAAAAATAATAAAGGAAAGAAAGAAAGAGCAACCATATCCATCTAGAAAGTCCACTTTCCAAAGGTCATCAAAGAAAAAAAAATCAAGTTATATCATTTTTTCAATAAGCATTATGAATACCTAGGCCATATTTGACTGCAACAAAACTATGTGTACTTAGAACTGTTAATCTTTTTATGAGGTTGAACCACATAACTTAAGTCTTTCTTTCATTGTCCATATTGTGCATTTCTTCCAACAAACATATGTTTGTTTCAGTAAGCCTCTTAAATAAGGACTTATTTGCATGATGCAAGATCTTAATCTGTATCTAGGTGAACATACTTGCTTAGGAAATCTTAAATTTTACCCTATGCCATTTATCCTTTGTTTTTGACAGAAAATTGTTTGGCAGCATTCGTAAGTAGGTGATAATTCCCTCCATGTTATGACAGTTGTTGTGCCCAAAGGTGTGGCTTCAAATCTTCCCCATAATTTTGAGAGAGTAAGCCACTCAGCCTATGAGTCCATCATACTGTACATTGGAGGGCTATAAAAGAAACTATAAACATTATTGGCTTTTAATGTTCGATTTATGAATGTGAAAGTTCTTCGCCATTCAGTACTTAAAGCAAACATGTTTCAATCTCGTCATCACAAAACACATAGCTTTTTTTTTTTTTTACAATTCTATGAATTGTTGCCAAATTCTTTTTTGAACATTTGTCCTTCTCTGAAGTTTCATTTGTGCAGTAAAGAGAAGTTTCATTTCATTATGTAAAGGTTCACCGTAGCATAAGTCATAACATAATAAACCTGTTCATATTTAAGATGCCACATCACTCAGTAAAGTAATATATCTTTGCTATTTAGCTCTTCCAAACATTGTACTTCTGCAGTAATATTGGTTATTTTATAATGAGGTTTTATGATGGCCTCACAAAGATTGTATGTGATGCTGAATAATAGAAAGCTTGTTATTAAATATTAATGTGATTGGGAAACCTATAATCCTTCATGAATTATTATTCTCATTAACATTAAACCAATCAAGTTTATAGTTTCTTTTATAGATCTCCTTAATATGGCGAATTGTCAACTTATGGAAGACGTAGCCCGGCTTCATATGAAGAGTTAGGTTACAGTATTTGCTGGGAAGATGATGAAATTATGATTAAGCCAACCAAGAATAAGCACTTGCATTTACATAAATTACACAATTTAAGACTTTTTTCTTCTTCTTCCATTGGAGCTTTACCTCAGAAGGAGTTTGGTAACATCCTTTCCGACTATGACTTTTAATAAAATGTGTTAGATCACGGGTGTCAAACTCAAGGCCTGCGGGCCAAATCAGGCCCTCAGGGTTCTTAAATCTAGTCCATGGGGCCGGCCTGGAAATAGTAAAGGACCGGCCCGTGGTGCCTCTGGTAGCCAAAATGGGGCATGGTGGTGGTGGTGGGGGTTAGCCTGTTTTCAGCCTGGATGGCCTCCTGAAGCACTCTGCTGGCCAAAATGGGGCATAGGGGGGGCCACATGCAGCACCCCCACGGCCCATTTTGGCCAGCAGAGTGCTTCAGGAGGCGTCCATCCTGTCACTCCCCCCCCCCCAGTCCGGTCCATGGAGAAGTACCGTGCTGATCCGACCCTCGAAGAAATCCAGTTTCACACCCTATGTTAGATGAACAAGGTCTTGACAAACTTCTGATCTTTTGTCACCTCCTGTTCATTTGAGCTTGGTTTTAATGAAGGCAAGCAAGGAATTCTTGGCGGATTCATCTTTTAAATTGCATGTAGCTGTACTGAGATTTGAGTTCTGTACAAATGCTTTCCTGGCTAATTTTAGTGCTTATGCATGGGCGTGGTGGGCATGCCACTGCCAGTTGTGTGGGAGAGAGTGAGTTAACATGCCTTTGAAGTAGTAGAAAGTGAATTGAAAGTCATTCTGTGTGAGGCTGATCACAGAAGGCCTGTTGTAAAACAGGTAGCCAGAATTATACATTTCCACAAACATAAGCCTTGTTCTTGAAGATGGCCTAAAATTGTGTCTGGAGGTTGTAACCTTTAAGAACCACAAGTCTGGATGTTTGTCTTTACCTCCTTCTACATCCATCAAAACAGCTCTTAATACAGGGATCTCCAAACTTGGCAACTTTGAGACTTGTGGACTTCAACTACCAGACAAAAGGATTAGACTTCAGCATGGTTTCTGAATATCTCTGTCCATGACTTGGGGCTGAACCTGGCTAATGGTTAAATTAGAGACCACCAGAAAATTCTCAAAAGCAGATGGTAGTAAATAATCTCTTATCACTTTGCCAAGAAAACATGGCCATGCCACTGAGCCCAGTTCAAGGGTGCCTTTAGCTTTTTCTAATACCAGGAACCCCTTCCATTTTCTGCCATTTACAAGAAGAATATATTGTATTCAGTTTTCAGTTTCACTTGAAATTTCCTTTACGTTTGTGAGAAGTGCACAGGTGAAGCATAACTGTATTGTGACCCATAAGATTATCTGTGAACACAAATTAATGTTTAAAAATCTTGTTTAAAGATATAGGTCCCACAGAATCATCTGAAAAGTACCCGGATGTGGGTTTAACATCCTGGAGAGAAGAATTTTTTGAGCTCCAAATCAGAGTTCTTTGGATTACTTTCACAACCATTGAGCACTGAAAAAGGCACCTGCGGTCTAAATGGTTCAACCATGGTTTCCTGTTACCAGGAAGTCATTAAAACGATTGTTCTCAGACGGACTGAAAAAGGATAGCTGAATTTTTATCACGTCACCAAATTGCAGTATTTCAAATTGGGAGCAAGAGAACATGGAAGCTATTATATTGAAGCAAGACTAAACCGATATACTGTACATCTATAATATACAATATTTTACACTTGTGGTTATTCTAAAACAGGGGTCTTCAAAATTGACAGCTTTAAGACTTGTGGACTTCAACTCCCAGAATTCCTCCTCCAGCCATGTTAGCTCAGGAATCCTGGGAGTTGAAGTCCACAAGTCTTAAACTTTCCAAGTTTGAAGTCCATTGTTCTAAAACCCTGCCTTTTCCATGGTTGTGAGGGGGTTGTCATAATTGGCTTTTGATTTTGGCTTGACTAATCTTTAGTTGTGACAATATGGAACTCGTACCCAAGTCTATCAAGTTCCCCTCAGTTCACTTTTCTCCAGGATAAATATGCACAAATTCCCCTCTCCTCATACATGAATCTTGGTCACTCTTAAAGTCATCAAGAGACTTGAAGGCTACATAGTTGAAGGGAAAGGTGATGACATCCAAGAAACCAGATGGAAAGACAGCTTGGGGCCCCAAAGATCTTCTTCAACCCAGACCCCGCTTGGTGTCTTCCCAATGTGTTAGGACTCCTCAAATTATGGGAAGAGTTGGGGATTGATATGTAAAGGCCCTCTGATCTTGTTTTTCCATTTTTATCATTGGAGCATGCCATCTCCATCTCTCTATTTCCCTGCTTCTTTCTTTGCTGCTCAGTTTTGCAAAGTAATCCTACCCAGCAGCCAGCAGAATTCCAAACCGGGATGGTTGGGGAATAAGGCCAGAAATAAGCCCCATACCTGTCTTACCACAAATTCTCACTTCAGTGCTTTGAAACTGAAGCAACAAAGCTCCATTAAGCAACCGAAGACAATGCAAAGGAAGAAAAAGGAATAACTTATTCTAACGAAACCAGAAGGTAAAATCTGAGTTTTGCTCACTGAGGTGTGCAGTTAGTTTGGTTTTCCTGTATTGTGGCATCCCCGTGGTCACATGACCAGAATCTAGGTCCGTGATGGCGAACCTATGGCACGCACGCCGGAAGTGTCACGCAGACCCATCTCTCTGGGCACACCAGCCGTCGCCCATTGCTCTTCCAGGTTCTGGGTCGTGCATGCATGCCAGCCAGCTAGTCTTCTCACACATGGGAGTGCTGGAAACCAGAAGCTCAGCTCCCCGGTGTGCACACATGTGTGCCAGCCAGCTGGTCTGTGTGCATGCATGCATGCCAGAAACCAGAAAACCAGGTGGCCATCACGCATGCACATGCCAGCAACTGGAAGCTCAGTTTCCCCATGCGTGCATATGCACTGGCCACCACCTGGTCTTCCGGTTTCTGGCGGTTCCCAGTGCGCTCACCGGGAAGCTGCTGTTCCGGTTTCTGGTGCTCCTCCGTGCACATGCAGGTGCCGAAAAGGTTTGCCAATACTGATCTAGGTGCTTGGCAACACGCATGTATTTATGACAATTGCAGTGTTTCAGGGTCACATGATCACCTTTTGCGACCTTCTGGAACTTCTAATGTCTAAAGTCAATGAGGAAAGCTGGATTTTCTTAATGACTACATGATTCACTTAACGACCACAGCCAAAAAAGGTAGTAAATTGGTGTGACTCACTTAATGACTGCATTACCTAGTGATGGACATTCCAGCCCCAATTATGGTTGCAAGTCAAGGACTAAATCCGATAGGAAATGAAGGAATTTCTAGAAAATTGCATTGGGCAGGGAGGATGGTCACCAGGACTGTGTCAAGTAAAAAACCTTTTCAGGACCCTAAGAAAATTGGAAGCTGTTGAAAATATGCTAGTTTTAAAGGCAGGAAAAGGGATTTTTTTGAGAATTGGGGGCCACAGCTAGTTCAGTTAAAGCAGGGCTCCCCAAACTTGGCAAGTTTAAGACTTGTGGACTTTGACTCCCAGAATTTTCCAGCCAGCTTGCCAAGTTTGGAGACCTCTGAATTAAAGTATCATACGGGAGATTCCAAGAAAGAGAAGGTGTGGAGCTGGTTGTTTTGCCCTGTTTGAGAAAAAAAGCGGTATTATCAAGGGAACCGAAGCACCTTAGATACAACCGTTCCCATCTGTAATAACCTAACACTCCCCAGACAGCCCGTTTCCCCAATCGCCTTCCCAAGATGCCTCCTACTCTCAATTCCTCCTTATTTTGCAGAAAAACAAAATAAAAATGTGCTTCTGAAAAGGAGCCATTTTGTCACGGAGCAACAACCTAGAAGACTGCATTGAACCTACAAGTTCCCCCCTTAATTGAAGGCCTATGATTATCAAGCTTGCTGGGTTAAATCTAAAGGTCTCTATCCTGGTTAGTCGTCAATCAGAATAGAGCTGGAAGGGACCTTGGAGGTCTTCTAGTCCAGCCCCTGCTGCACAAGGGAGGAGACCCTATACCATTTCAGACAGATGGCTGTCCAGTCTCTTCTTAAAAACCTCCAGTGAAGAAGCACCCATAAATTCTGCAGGCAAGCTGTTCCACTGGTTGATTGTTCTCACTGTTAGGAAATTTCCCCTAAATTCCAGGTTGCTTCTCTCCTTGACTGGTTTCCACCCATTGTTTCTTGTCCTGCCTTCTGGTGCGTTGGAAAATAAGTGGACTCCCTCTTCTTTGTGGCAGCCCCTCAAATACTGGAATACTGCTATCATGTCACCCTTAATCCTTCTTTTCTCTAGACTAGCCATACTTTATCTCTGGGGGCAGCCTATTTCAGTGTGGGGGAAGCCACGACACTAGAGGCTATTCACTTCTCACACAACAGGACCTTCCTTCTGCAGGATTTCTTCTGATGTTCCTGCAGAGCAGGCCGAATAATTTTCAGGAAGGTATTCCCTTGAATGTAATCTGATCCTGTGCCACATATGGCTTCATAGGTACAGTATATAGTACATAGGTACTAGCACTTTCTCTTTTTTTATGTATTTTTCTTTATTCAGCATTTTCACTCATGGCTTTCTAATAATAAAATGTTTAAAAAAGGAAGTAGACTGCTTAGAAAATATACGGAAACATATTGAACAACAAATCCTTTCCCCCAAATCTGTATTTTCATTCCATTTATTTTTGTGGCAGTTTCTTGAAACAAAACAAGCTCTTCAGAACTACTACTAATTATAATAATAATAATAATAGGTACTAGCATGTTCAATTGGGCCCGGAACCCATTGGTAACCAGTGAAGCAGTTGCAAATAGATGTTCTCACACAATGACAGGTTTGACATGCTAGAGGCTGTATCAGTTGAAGCTTTGACATAGATCCTGTTGCAGCAGTCAACAAGATTCAAGGGGACAAATGGTATGAGTTTATAATGCCAAAGCTTCATGGACCAAGCAGGGCCATAACTGGTCAAAGGCTACACTGGCCAGAGCTGCTACCAAGTATTCTACAAGGACTCTTGTGTCCATACTAATCCTTGTAACACAGACCCACTCTTGATGATGACTATCTAGAGCCAGCACTGGTTCCAATGCTTCAGGAATTCCTAGATATTTGTTACCTTCACCTTGTCAGGGTTTAATCTAAGATTAGTTCTCCCTACGAGACCCACACAGCCCCAGATATTGTCAACTGTCCCACCCGGTCATCTAACAAAGAAGGACTCCTGGCCATTTGTTTTTGCCAAGAGTATATTTTACTAAAGGTTAGGCAATTACTGAAGTAGCATAACCTGAATTGGGGGTTTTCTCATGCAAACAATACAAAGTAAATTCTCCTCTTTCCCTCCCTTTCTCCCCGCCCCCGGTTATTTGTAAATGTCCGATTAGGTGCTTGTATAGTGTTTAGGAAACAGGTTCTTCCTTCCTAGCTCTGCACATATTCGATAGTTGACTTTGGCTGGTTGAAGCTTCTCACGAGGCTCAGCTGGGCTTCCTCCCCCTCCCTTTCTTCTCTACGGTCCAATCCTTTCCTTCCCTCTCCCTGTCCCGTTGCTAATGTCAGGCTGTCCCCTCATGAAGCTTGGATAAGAGAGATGCAGCCATGACAGATGTAAGTACAGGACTTTCACAGCAAGTTTGTCGTCCGTTTGGGACGACGTCGACACAAAGTCAAGTATCTTTGCGTGCTCATGGAGGCCTCGTTCCAGTCTTCTGCGTAAAAGGTAAAAACCATAGGAGAAAAGCATCATTCTCACCCCATTCAGGCAGGGGCGGGATCGTCACAAAGGGTGCTTCCAACCTGCAGCTCTTGCAGATGGTCCAGCAAGATACCCTGCTCAAAAACTGGAAAAGATTTCTTGGTTATAAACAAAATGTATTCTATGGCAGAGATTGATCTATCAGGAAATAGAAAGTTAGGGATTCCAGGAAAATTACTGCTTTGGTGGTGACATTTCTGGGAAACCACTGAAATGCACAGTGAAAATCATTCCCAACTGGTTAGAAAGCTTTATCAGCTTTTGAACTATGCACTAACCTAAAATTGGTCCAGGGATGCATCTCTTTGCCAAAGTGTTGCCTACTCATTGTTTCCTAAGTTACATTCATAACCAACCTTTCAAATGAATTCACCCATAGCTCTCTGTCTGGCCTCTATCTCCAGCCTTTCCTAAAGTAGCAGCCAAAAGCTTTTTCTGACAGATTTTCAGTAGGCAAGTAAGAAGGGTTTTATTTATTGAACTTATTTATTGTACATTTTTAACCTTGATACCACCTCTATCCTTCCAAGAATGTCCTATTATGCAGACATGGAGTACGGCAGGGTTTTTTTCCCCTGGCTGCACAATCTTTGGCTGACTCGAGATGTCTGACTGAATGATTTAGTTGTCCGGAATAAACTGCAGCAAACACTTGGACTCCGACATGCCTCCTTTTTTTTTTTTTCTCCTCCAGCCCAGCTGCCAGATAGATCCAGGGATATGTTTTTCTTCCATTTCCATTTCTTTCCACAATGTGACAAACCCCAGAAGGACACCATTTATGTAGCGGTTTGTAAGGAACAATCTAGAACAGGGGTGTCAAGCTCGGGGTGTCATGGCGGTGTCACATGATGTATTGGGACTTTTTTTTCCCTTTGGTAAATGGGGCATGGGCGTGGCCAGCATGTGACGCCTCCAGCCTCCAGGCTGTGAGTTTGACACTCTGATCCAGAAGGAATGAAAAAAGGTCCATTAAATGTCTATGAAAATACCTATCACCTCAACTTCATGCATGAAAATTGTGATTATAGGCCTCCACATAGGTTATAGCTATGTGACAACATGTCAACACATCGACTACATAACTTGCCTGAGTTCAGGTGCAGTTGACACAAATTATGCAACAATACTATTTATGCACTGTCGTGTTGCACACAATATCATTGTGGTATCATTCTTCTGACACCTACAGAAGCTGCAGTCCAACTCATTTAAAGTGCAGAACCATGATTCTGTAGGTGGTGGTTGTTCCTTGCCTTAGTTTTCCACTCTCAAGGAAGATGAAAAAAAGTAAACCATAAATGTAAAAGAAAAGAGATAAATTCTGCTTCACTCAAGATGCTAGCATTATCGAGATTATACATTGTAAACACCAAGGCTGCTATTAGATTTCACTGACTTCCTGAATTTGTTGTGTTTGTACCCCTAAATTTATTATGTGTTTTTATTCTCATTTGGTATTCAGATTTAGGGTCGATTTAATGCACGTTTGGTGGATTTCTTGAATCTGCAGGAATTGTGTAATTTGTTTTTATTTTTATTTAATGATATCAATCATGGAAGAATAAACCCACACTTTTTAAAAGTTGTATCTAAGAGGCAAGCAGATTCTAAAACAAAAAAGAAGGCCTGCATTTTCAAACTTCTGTGTAGATAGAGTGGAGAAGTAAACTATGTAGCCACTGAATTTACCCAAAAATTGAGCAAGAGAATTATTTTTAATTTTAAAAAAGCTCCATGGTTACGGCCTCTTAGGAATCAATGGTAGACATGCTTTACAATGGGACTTTTAAAAAAAAGTACAAAGCATTACTAAAGCCCAGGGAAATGTAAAATGCTCTAATCCAAGATCATATCAACACATATGTGGGATTTTAAACTGTAGGTGAGGAGTGGCTTTTGCAGGTTAATTGTAAGAAAACAGTAAGTCTAACTTGTTCTCAGTGTATCAACCAAAGATTTGCATCTTAGCGAGGTGATGCGGCATTTTTTTTTCCTCAAGAAGAGTTCAAATGTTAAGATTCTTTGCTTGCTTTTATGAAGTGAACGTAGAAAGGAAAAGGAAGAGAGAAAGAGCAAAATGTGTCTTCTGCTTTGGTCTTTTTATGCATTTCCACCTTGCTGGTGTCACTGCCAGTTTTAATTTCCTACTGTTGTTCCTCGCTGGCATCCCTTCCTCTGCCGAGTAGCTATCTGTCTCTGCTGCAAAACGAGACAGCCCGTCCAGACACATCCATTGTAGCAACTGTCCTGTTGTAACCTGGATTGCAGTGCCGCATTACAAATGCACCCAGAGGACACAGAGAAACCTCCAAGTGCTTCAACAACCCTCTAAAAGGATGCAAACGGCCAGCTGTCCGCAAGGAATATAAATCCTTCCATTCCCCACCATCCTGTCAGGGCTGAAGAAGCTTCTTGGGTGAGAAGTGAAACGTCTTCAAAGAAAAAACAAGGAACTCCAGTTGCCTACTGAAAAAAGGAACTTTGGGAAAACCGCAACCTGATTGACTGAGAATCATTACAGGCCCATTGCAAAGGCATTTGCTTAATTAGAAAAATTGTCCCTATCATCTACATGCAGCTGTGTCAAAAGAAGTGCACACCAAGGGGAATTAAAATCTAAACAAGAGGGTGTTGAATTATCATGGTGGCCTCAACTGCAAATACAATCTAGATATGATAAAGATGTGAAAATGTATTGCTTTTATAAAGAACCAACAAACTTTGATCAGATATTGTTGAACTCCATTGAAAAACTTATTAAGAAACTATATAACTTTATATTAAATTTGAAAATGGAAGATAAACAAGTGAAAGAAACAAAGATACAGTGGGCAAAAAACTTTGGATATAATATAGAATTAGAGAAATGGCAAAATATAGAGGAAATAAATTATAAATTAACAATGGCAACTTCTTATAAAGAAAAATGTTTTATAAATGGTATTTACCACCTGCTAGGTTAGCCAAAATGTTCAAAACTTTGTTTAGTAAATGTTGGAAATGTAACCAAAAATCTGGCACATATTACCATCTGTGGTGGACTTGTGCTACTAAAGCAAAACACAGGTGCCAGGTTTTGATTGCATTTTTATTGTTTTACTTTGACTCCTCTCCTCTGCCCTGCCCCTGATGTGCCATATTGGTTTTGAGGTTGTGCAATTTGGTTTTAAAAAGCACAGGAGCAGCCCTACGCTTCATTTAAGCTAAGCAGCCTCAAGAATGTACAAAGATGTGGATAAAAAAAGTGCAGGTAGTCACAACAGTTCATTTACTGACTGTTCAATGTTACAATGGCATTGGAAAAAAAAAAGGGACTTATGATTAGTTTTCACACTTACGATCGTTGCAGCATCCCCCCATGGTTGCGTGATCAAAATTCGGATGCTTGGCAACTGGTTCCTATTTATGACGGTTACAGTGTCTTTGGGTCTCGTGATCACCTTTTGCGACCTTCTGCAAGCAAAGTCAATCAGAAAATCAGATAAAGAAACAACTACAGTGATTCACTTAACAACTGTGGCAAGAAGGGTTGTAAAATGGGACAGAATTATCTTAACAAATGTCTCACTTAACAACAGAAATTTTGGGCTCCATCATGGCCGTAAGTCAAGGACTACCTTTAGCTCGCTCCTAAGGTGTGTTAAGGAAGATCAGAGTTAACTCTAGAGACTAAGTTATTCCAAACTAGAAGTGGTGTTATGAGGTTGATACTATTTCTTCATGC